TCTTTAACTGGCATTTCTCTCTATAGCTGATCTTGGCATTGGTGGCTGAAGGCTGATCAGTGACTTACTGAACTGCACAGAGTGGTCATCTGCCTGTAACGGGCTTCTCCGCCGTGATTCCTAGTTGTTTGCATCCCATGAAAAATAGTTTGTGTCACACTTGTGCAATACTCATGAAATATCACAGAAAAAATAAATTTATTGTTGACTTTAGCATTCACTGGGATATTGATATTTGGTTTTTTATTATGGGTATTTCCACACTTGAACCATTTTTTAGTGGAGCATGTCTCAGTAGAAATTAGCAGTACATCAACCAAATCACTAAGAACAAATTTCTGGGGACAAAAGGTTACATGAGAGCGAAGTTACGGGATTTATTGCGACATGTAACCTGTTGCTTAAAGCGTCGTACCAGGGGCTCCCAAGAGCAGCTCCAATAATTTTTAAGCAAGTCTGAGAAGTGACTCTCTAGAACAATAGAGAATTAAGCTGAACGCCTCTCTGCTGGGCGGACTATATGGATCATAGCAAAGACTAGAACTGTCACTGAAATTGGGAGTAAAACTTCTTAATGCCAATGTAGGATTAAAAAGCAGACATTCTTTATTACGGCGACAGATGCATGGAGGATCACTCTGCCTAATGTGCACACTATATTCTGCCTCGCTCCAGGCTTGTATCACCCTGTTACATACACGTGCATTAAGTTTCCTAGAATGTTCATACATATTTATTCTATTTCCTGGATGTCCTGGGTTCGGCCAGGACAGGGTTAATTTTTATGAGACTCCAGGAAGGGGCACAGCCGGGCGGGCTGACCCAACCTGGCCAAACAGAGCAGGGTATTCCATACCATGTGCCGTCATGCTGGGTTCCGGTGGGTGAGAGCGGGGTGGCGGGAATTCACTCGCGGCTCGGGAGGGCTCAGCGGCGGGGCGCCAGTTGTGCTTGTTCTGGGGCTGTGTGTCCGAGGGGAGGGGCGGCCGCGTGGCGCTTTTGTTGCCGGGCGCAGCCAAACCATAACACTGGAACTCATTATCATATGTGCATAGTCATTACGCATGCAGCCTGGGGCTTGCATGGGGTCCTCGATGGTCTCCGGTGGTTCCTAGTAGTTGCTGAAGAGACGTCTCTTAGTGTCCTTTCCATGAATTCTGTCTTTCCACCTATGGTCATGAGCTTGCTCACTGTAATCGATGGCCTTGCTGGACTTGTCAATGCCAGAAGACAGACATGCTTGGACTCAGGCATCAAGAGCTGAAGAGTTAACAAAGGGAGCAATTAACTTGTGCCTATCTTATCAGACAGAAGGCGGGATAGCCCATCACTGTAAACCAAGTGATCTG